CCACATTGCGAGAGCCCCTCGTCAAAGTGCTTGTACAGGCGTTAAGCCACTGCTGCCGCTTCCCTCGCTTTCTTTTTGGTAAAGGACCAGACGATTCCCTTTCAACCTCCTGCGTCCCACCAAGGCCCCCCTAGCGAAGATCATAGCTCAAACTTGCAGCTCTGAACCTTGGTTCCCCAGTGAATTCTCCACCTCAAGCCCCCTCCAAAGTAGCCCTGGATTGTTAAGGGCCACCATAACCTACCATTCACATATACTTTTTTTTTTTTTTTTTTTTTGCGCGCTGTTGTCTCCAGGCCTACAAAATATCCCGGCGAGCGGGCAGCCCTCCCGCCTCCGCTCGGTTAGCCATTCCTCCCTGCCTCAGCCTCCGACCGCGACTTACAGGCCGCCGCCCGCGCGCGCGGACGCCGCCTGGCTAGTTTTTTTTGTAATTTTATAGAGACGGGTTTCCCACCATGTCCAGGGCATTGTGGTCTCGATCTCCTGACCTCGTGATCCGCCCGTCTCGGCCTCCCAAAGTGCTGGGATTACAGGCTTGAGCCACCGCGCCCGGCCAATATTTACTTTTTATATTTGAAAAATATTATCTATTTCCCAGGTGTTGGAGGTTACAGTGAGCTATGATAATGACACTGCACTCCAGTCTGGGTGACACAGTGAGATCTTCTCTCTAAATAATAATAATGATAATAATTTATTTTCATAAAGTTTCTTTTTTTGGAGATGGTGTTTTGCTCTTGTTGCCCAGGCTGGAGTGCGATGGTGCCATCTCAGCTCACTGCAACCTCCACCTCCCAGGTTCGAGCGATTTTCCTGCCTCAGCATCCCTAGTAGCTGGGATCACAGGTGCCCACCACCACACCTGGCTAATTTTTTTGTACTATTAGTAGAGATGGGGTTTCACCAGGTTGGCCAGCCTGGTCTCAAACGCCTGACCTCAGGTGATCCACCCGCCTTGGCCTCCCAAAGTGCTGGGATTACAGGGTGAGCCACCGCGTCCTGCCAAAGTTTCTTAACTAGAACATTCTTTTATTTATTTATTATTTTTTTTTTTTTTGAGAGACAGCCTCAGTCTTTCACCCAGGCTGGAGTGCAGTGGCGTGATCTTGGCTCACTGCAACTTCTGCCTCCTAGGTTCAAGAGGTTCTCAGGCCTCAGCCTCCCAAATAGCTGGGATTATAGGCATGCACCACCACACTCAGTTACCTTTGTATTTTTAGTAGAGACGGTGTTTTGCTATGTTGGCCAGGTTGGTCTGCTGGCCTCAAGTGGATCCATCTCCCTCAGCCTCCCAAAGTGCTGAGATTACAGGTGTGGGCCACTGTGCCCGGCCCCCAAGATTATTCTTGAAGCTACAGATTTACTATCTTAATAATTCAAAGTTGACTAGAATAACTGTATCTATTAACCTTAACCTTATTTATTTATTTATTTCCTTTCTTTCCTTTTTGTTTTTTTAGACATAGGGTCTTTCTCTGTCACCCAGACTGGAGTGTTGTGGTGAAATCATAGTTTATTTCAGCCTTGAACTTCTGGGCTCAAGCAATCCTTCCACCTCAGCCTCCCAAGTAGCTGAGACTACAGGTGTGCACCACCACATCTCGCTAATTTTCTTAAAAAAATTTTAGAGACACAGTCTATGTTGCCCAGGCTGGTCTCAAATTCCTCACCTCAAGCGATCTTCCCACCTCAGCCTCCCAAATAGCTGGGAATACTTGTGTGAGCCACCATACTTTGTCTTACTTATTCACTCTCTAAAAAGTCACAAATATAGGAAAAAGCTTTAAGCCCAAGGAAGAGAGGAAGACTGAGCTTAAACTCCCAAAAGTACCTTTTTGAGAAAAGGGTGTCCACTCACAGGCTTCATCGACTGAACAGGTTGGACACGAAGCTTCTTCCATTCTTCATTGAGGATCTGGGTTTTTTCTTGAACCTTTGCAAAATTTGCCACATACAAAGCCTAGCAAAGCCATGGAAAAGATTAAGATATATTGTTACTAGGCCGGG